GAAGGGCCTGGTCGGCGGGGCGCCTCCTCCGCTTCCTCCTCCGGCGGGGCAGCCCCGGGAGTACAAGCTGGTGATGCTGGGCGCTGGCGGCGTCGGAAAAAGCGGTACGTCGGTGGTTCGGAGGATGATAATCATCCTCATGGTTCGTGGGGGGGCGCTTGGAAGCCTTCGCCCAACCGTGAAGGCTCCCCCCCCTCGCTCTCCCGCGGGAGCAGCCTGCCTACCTGGCAGGGCGGTTGTTCCAGAGAGCCGCGCATGCGCCCTTGGGCTTACCTCCGAGTAGCCCCGTGTGTGGCGTTGGTCCCCTTGGAGCCTCGCCTTCCCTCCCCCCCACCAGACAGGAGTGCCCAACCTTGAGGAGGGGGGGGGAAAGAGCCCCAGTGTTCTTGGACTACAATTCCCAGAATCCTTCGCACCTGGGTGCCTGTGATGTTGGGAGTGGCAGTCCCCCCCAAAAAAAACAACCCAGAAATCTTGTGTAGTGCACTTCTGGAATGTGTGTGTGCGCCCATGTTTATGTGTTATGCATCTATGTGTGTAGTATATGTCCCCATCATCATCATAAAACTGCAGAGCTGGAAGAGACTGCATGGGTCGTGGTGTCCGGGAGGGGAATCGAACTCCCAACCTCCTGCTCCAGAGGCCTAAACCCCACTGAGGTGTCCAGAAGATTTGCACGTGAGGCTGCCTTTGTTTCTGCTGGTCCAGGAAGGCGGCCAGTTTGTTGATGGGGAAAAAACCTGCTGGAATCGCTTAGTGGATTGGGTCCCTGGCTGTGGAGCCAGAGGTTGGAAGTTCTCCCCAGGACTTCTTGACAGGGGCTGGACTGGATGACCCATAGGGTCCCCCTTCCAGCTCTGCAGTTCAAAGGTCATTATTATTATTATTATTATTTTGACCCAGAGCCGGCTCCTTCAATAGCATTCTCTAGGTCTTCTTGTGCTGCGTGGGTTGAATTTCTCCACAGTCACAGAACATTTCTCCTTGGTTTTACTCCATTTTACTTGATTATTCTTGATTCTTCCTGCTCTGCTTTGAAGTCTATAAAGCGGCTTCTTGATGCTCCAGATGAAATCTTCTCCTCATTCATCCATGAAGGGTGGAGAAGGGGGAGGAATGACTGACAAAATCGGTGGCACTCCGCCGTGTGTGGCCCAAGGATGTGTCACACACAGGGAGAAGGCATGATTCGGTAAATACTGTAGCTGGGAAAGGTCAAATTCTCAGCAGCCATCAACCTCATTGTAGGCAACAAACTGCCTATATTACAAGGGGATTACAATAAATTATTATTATTTTAGAAAAAGAAAGCCACTGAAGGACAAGATGAGGAAGATTGCACTCCAGGAACTGTAGAGGCATCAAAGTAGAAGAAAAATAAATCCATCCTTGATTGTTTTTTTCCACTGAACACTTTGCATATTTATGCTTGAGTTCTCCGAGATAGGGGTGTTTTTAATTCTCACTTCTAACCCTCATGTTCAGTGACATATGCAGTAGGACACCCCTATCCATGGGAGAACAGTTCCACACTTTCCCCCCAAAAAATGTGGATTATACCAAACCCTACATACTGTGGTCTCTGTTCCCTTTAATATTTTCAGACCGTGGATAAGTGAATCAGTGGATAAAGGGGGTCTTAGTGTTTCTTTGGAATGCCACTTCCAGAATCCACCAGCAAATACAGTTGCTGGGAATTGCAGTCCATCCGAGTGTTGTTTTCCAGGTGTGCAAGACCTCCCTCAAGGGATCTGCCCTTCCCTTCCCAGAAATGCAACCCTTTCTTCAGTTCCTCTGAGCTGCAATTAATATCATTCTGTTTTCCTTGCAGCCATGACCATGCAGTTCATTAGTCACCGCTTCCCCGAAGATCATGACCCCACCATCGGTGAGTGTCCCTCCCGGCTTCCTCTCCCTCCTTGGGACGTGCTGGCTGTATAGAATTGGGGAGGAACAGAAACAAGGAAGAGAGATCTCCTGATATGATGCTTTTTTAAAAAAAGAGCATGCCAATGGAAAAAAGGCGTTTTTTAATCTCTTGCTGTGCCATATTGTAGGATTTAAGGTAGCGGGATTAATACGGACAGTATCCACACGCATTCAGGCTAAAACGCCACAGACAAAGAGCTCTGTAGAACTCTAAAGCTTGCACATTTCATGCCTTTACAGTGGAAGGGCACTGCTCGTCTGCAGAGAAAGCTAGGTTTGACTGAAACATGAGAGAAGCCATCTCTCTGTCTCCCCCTTTCCCCAGCACACACTCCTGTTACCCTATGGGAATAAGAGTCGGAGCGGGAGGAGGCTGTTGTCGATAGTGGGAGTGTGGGATCAGGAAAGCTAGATCTGACTGAAACATGAGAGAAGCCATCTCTGGCTCCCCCTTTCCCCAGCACACGCTCCTGTTACCCTTTGGGAATAAGAGTCGGAGCGGGAGGAGGGCGTTGTCGATAGTGGGAGTGTGGGATCAGGACTTCAGGGGGTCCAGAGTCAAGACCACCTTGAGCCGTGAAGCTCACCGGTCGCCTTGAACCACTTGTGATCTCTCAGTCCGGTGAGGATTCTTTAGCCCACTGAGTCTCTGCAGGAAGGTGAAAAATGAAAAATCAGAGTGGGTGCAAAGGAAGTGGATTATGCTTTGTTCTTGTTAAGTCGTGTCCGACTCTTTGTGACCCCATGGACCAGAGCACACCAGGCCCTCCTGTCTTCCACTGCCTCCCGGATTTGGGTCAAATTCATGTTGGTTGCTTCGATGACACCATCCAACCATCCCGTCCTCGGTCGTCCCCTTCTCATCTTGCCTTCACACTTTCCCAACATCAGGGGCTTTTCCAGGCAGTCTTCTCATGAGATGGCCAAAAGTATTGGAACCTCAGCTTCAGGATCTGTCCTTCCAGTGAGATCTCGGGGTTGATTTCCTTCAGAACAGATAGGTTTGTTAGAATGGATTACACTACATGAAGACAAAAGCAAGAAAATTGTGAAAGCATAATTGAAGGCAGGTCCTTTGTCAAGTGGTTGATGCTTCGGTTCGTTCCCCAAGAGGGGTATCCGTGAACTGCGGAGTGAGGTTTCCTGTTCACTTCTGCGTCTGCATTTAGATGGTGAAGATGTTTGAAGGCCAGCAAAAGCATTAATGGTTAGCCAGCACTGAGGGCCTCTGTCTGTTTTCTTCCCCTCTGTCTCTAGAGGATGCTTACAAAATGCGGATCAGGATCGACGACGAACCGGCTAATCTGGACATTTTGGACACAGCAGGCCAGGTACCCAGCGACCGCTTTGCGTTTTACGTTGCGTTTTCCTGCATCTGACGTGATTCCCATTCCTTATCCTGACTCAGTCCGTGAAATACAGTAAGACTCCTGTCTCTGTGGGGGAATCAGTTCCAAGTCTTGGATGCTGAAAAACATGGATTATAGCCAACGCTATAATGGTCTCTGGCTCCTTTGGGTAGCTTCATTTTTAGAAATACGTATTTCTAGAATTTTTAAAAATATATTTTTAATATTTTCCAAGGGAATCAGTGGATGCCAATCCTGCAGGTAAGTGGGGGGGGGGTTCCTGCTATAGTCCGGTGAGGGGGGGGGGGCAAGGGGCTTAATTCAGTGACTGACAGCCTGTATCTTCTGTGCTTCCAAATGAACCTATGGCTGCGGGAAGATTTGAATCAGGATCTCCCTGGTTCATGGCTGAGCCTGTCCATTTCCACCTAAATTCTGTGAGCAAGCAAACATCATCTGTGCTGGGGTATCTCTCCAAAGTGTGGAAGAGAGTGGATGTTGGTAGCACGGAGTAGATGTTGGTAGCATGAAACGCCTCCGGGCCTTTTCGTCGCAATAAGGACAGGAACGGTGGCTGCTTTAGTCATCCCGAAACTGAAGACTCATTCCCCCTCCTTTTTCTTTTTTTTTTTCAACCCAACCAGGCAGAATTCACTGCGATGCGAGACCAGTACATGCGGGCAGGCGAAGGATTCATCATCTGTTACTCCATCACCGATCGGCGGAGTTTCCACGAAGTGCGGGAGTTCAAGCAGCTGATTTACCGCGTCCGGCGCACTGACGAGACCCCGGTGGTCCTGGTGGGGAACAAGTCCGACCTGGAACAGCTGCGGCAGGTAAGGAGTGCCCGGGGAGAATTACGTTATTATGACGTCCATTTCCAGGTCGTACTCAATGGGTGTGTGTGAATGACTGGAGTTCCATTCTGTTTGGATTGTTCTTCTGTGCTCTGTTTGTGAGAGAAGGTGCTTGTTTTCCCGAAATCCCCCAAGGTTCCTTTTTTAAAGTCTGCCGTTCTGGCCCCATGCTCCCTTTTTGATGTGATCTTTGAGCGCAGATGTCAGAAGAGGAAGGGAAGGTGTAAGAAAAAGAAAACAACCTTATCAAAGGCCCATAGATCTTGTTGGCCAACACGTTGGCTTGACGTTTGAGTTTCCTAAGCACGCTGGGTCTCTGGATTAACTCGCTGTCCTCAAATACCAGCCTGATTTCCCCAGGGCTAAATTCAAGGGTCTCCCTTCAGCAGTATCGGAAGAGCACTATCCCACCATCCTGTATGACGATCAGTTGTATGCCTGGGGAAATGGGGTAGCTGAGTCTTTGGTCCATGTGTCGTGTGAATGTAGCCTCCACAAAGATGGTTGTAACAGATTCCTCTGGCTTGTTAGGAGGAAATGCTCTGGAAGGCCATTCATACGGTATTTGCTGGCAGGTATAAACCAAGCAATCCCTAAGTTTTTGTTTTCTGTTGTAAGATCTCGCAAAAAGCCCTTCTGAATCTCACTGACTGATATATATATTAGACCCTTAGGGTCTTAACTGCCGGGAAATGTACGTTTTAGAAATTTTTGGTGGGTCTTTGAAGAAGCCAAGTTACTAGAGATAAAGCAAAGGAAAGCATGCTGCTTATATACTGCCCGCATCACTTAAAAGTACTCTCTGGGCAGTTTGCAATTTAATTATGCAGGCTACACATTGCCCCCCCCCGAGAGCTGGGTACTCATTTTACTGACCTCAGAAGGATAGGAGGCCAAGTCAATCCTGAGCCGGCTCCCCGAGATTGAACCCCAGGTTGCGAGCACAGTTTCGGCTGCAGTGTAGAAGTTTAACCACAAGGTATGGGGGCGCACGCACTGAGACCTATCAGAGTGGAAATAGGTCAAATTGTTGCATGTTCTCGTTCACGGCTACGGTGCCCCACCGCTGAACGCGTTCTCGGAACCAGTCCCTCAGACCATTCCCGCAGTAAAAAATCGTGAAAGCCAGCTGGGAGGCGCCGACGTGCCTGTGGTTTTTATTTTAAATATCTGGAAGGGTTTGGAGAGGAGCCTCACCGTGAAGCGGAAAAGGCTGCGTAGGGACGCCGCTCGGAAAAAGGAAGCGGAGGACAGATGCAGAGGAGAAGGGAGGGAGGGATGCGTGGCGGGAGCTTGATCCAGGCGTTCGGAAGCGGCAGGAAGGGGCGTCTCCGGTCCAGGAATGGCCTCGTCTTACGGGGTGCTTTCTCGTTGCCAGGTGTCCAAAGGGGAAGGCACAGACCTGGCCCGAGAGTTCGCCTGCCCCTTCTTCGAAACCTCGGCCGCCTTTCGCTACTACATCGACGACGTCTTCCACACGCTGGTGCGAGAGATCCGGAGGAAGGAGAAAGAGGCCGTCGCGGCCTCCGGGAAGAAGTCCAGGCCTCGGGTGAGCATGTGGAAAAGGCTGAAGTCCCCCTTTCGGAAGAAGAAGAAGAAAGTGACCTAAAGCAACCCGGGTCCCCTTCCGTCGGAGAACTGCGTGGCCCGCAGAGGGGACCGCAGCCGTATAGCGGGAGCTCCCCCCCCCGGGCCTCCTCGGCTCCTCTCTTGCTCGGCACGTTACTTGAAATACTGTAGTCTGTTCAGAGTTCGGAAGGCGGCTTCTCTGCGGCGTCATTTTACCTCGAACGGCGAGAACGCCGGTGCTGCGGCGTGTCCTTCATGCTTCTCGTTTCCCGGAGAGCGCCTGGCAGGGAACCGTTGAACCATACTCCTGGATCTCCCCTTTGCTGGTGCCTCGGCGATTCAGGGGTTTGAAACTGGGTGTCTGAAACGGCCGCGGATGCTGAGAAATGCTGGAGAACCAGAGTCGGCCACCATCTTTTCCCATAAGGTTGTGAAGTTTCTTCTGGGCCAGCCAGGGTAGGGAGTGTAGGAATTTAGAAGTACAGCAGATACGGCTTCGGTAGTGACACAGAAGCACTCAGCGTGACTCTTTCGAGACCTTTTTAAAAGGTGGAGTTTTTACTGTCGGCTCCCTCGTGCTTGCGTTACAGTTCCTCCATATTTAGACTTTGTCTCCTGTTCTTTTCGATTCTACAGGGTACTGGCCGATGAAGGATTAAGCGTCGTGTCGTTTGCACCGCTTTTCTGAGGCCGCGGCCTTAAGGCGTATAACGGAGAGAATGCCCCAGGTGGCAGACACCTATTCCGAAGCGCCGTGGCTGATGAAATCCGTAGGGGTGTCGTTTGTACCAGGAAGTCTTGAAAGGGTGCGGGAAGGTGAGGTTAAGCGGCTCTTGCTGAAAGGAAGTCAGCGGGAGATCTGGTTGTGTTGCTGTGCAGCCTCAGCATGAGAAGGAGAGGTTTTGGCGTCGAAAAGCAGAGTATGTGTATTACATTTGGATTAGGACACGAGACTTGGGCTTAGCTGCTCGAGGGAAGATAGTGCTGCATCTGGTTGAGGGACAGTCTGATCCCCCCAGAAGGCGGCTACTGAGGCTTGGATTTCGAACTCAAAGCACCTGGGGCACAGCACCCCCCAGCCAGAGTGGTGGCCAGTAGAGAATACAAGATCGTGTCCTGTGACTCTTTTGGTGCCTGGGGGCCCTGAATGAGAATTGTACTCTTAAGGTCCTAAGCGAAGGAGCAAATGAAGCTAAGAGATCTGGACAACTCCCCCAGGTTGGGGGTTCGATTCCCCACTGCGCCTCCTTGACATGGGCTGGACCTGACATGGCCTCTTCCAGCTCTGCTGTCCTAAGTTGGTCATTAGATGCCTCGAGGGGTTAGCGTTGTGCCGTTTCCACACATGGAGATGGTTTTGAAATCTTGAGGCTTGTTTTTTTTTTATGTGTAACTTTAGTCACCAAAACCAGACGGGTCAGCTCAAATTAGCTTCTTGGAAAACCCAAGGCGTTCTGCTGTTCAGAAAGTAACTCCTTTTTTGGGGGGAGAGAGACACATCAGTTCTGGATCTGCTCCTCTCGTGGTCCAACATTAATTGTTTGCAAAGTTGTGCCTTAGAGAAGCCCCCCGTTAGAGGGTATGCGTTTGGACGGGGGGGTGGGTGGCATTACCCGTATTTTTCGCTCCATAAGACAACGTTAGAGGGTATGCGTTTGAACAGGGGGTGGGTGGGATTACCCGTATTTTTCGCTCCATAAGACGCACCAATTTTTTAGGGGAAGAAAACAGGAAAATATAATCTGTTTTCTTCGCTCCATAAGACGTACAGACTTTCCACCCCCCTGTTTTGTGGGGAAAAAGTGCGTCTTATGGTGCGAAAAATACGGTATTTGTGAAGCTGGCCCGCTGGATGCATCCACCCGCTTCCAGAGGAAGAATCTTCCAGCTGTTCGTCCTGCTTATATTCTGGGTTTTAGTTGCAAGATCTCAGAGCATTGGTTTGCTAAGGAATTCGGGGCTTCTGAAATAAAAACATCCGGAAGGCAGGTAGGGAACCACAGGCCTCCAATCCTACCAACTTTCTGCGTTAACTGCCTAATTTGATATGTGACTAGACCAGTAATTTAAAATAGTTTGTTACTCCATAGGAAATTTTAAGAAGCACCCGTAGAATCTAGACATTCATTAACTCTAGCTTAATATGTTTTATTGTTCTCGGTTTTACCAAACTGTATTGATTTTTTTTTCTTTCTTAATATATCTTAGCTCCATTAACAAATTCTGTCAAGCAGTTGGGCGAGAAAGAAAGACATTCTCGCTCACGGCATCTAGCAAGAAAGATTTTGAATGTAGCAATATATGATGTATTTATAGTCGTGAATTAACATGGTGCACACTGTTAGAAACCTCCCAGAGCAACTAATTTAGGAACTGATAAAATCCTGTTATTTCAATACATTTCATGTAGCGTTGGATCAAATACTGCTGGAACCGGATAGATAAATCTATATATTTTAAAGGGGGGGCAGTTTCAGAATAAATCACGTAGCCTACTTTTGGAAAGTGGGAAGAGAGAACCAGCCTGGTTTAATTTTTCAGGTGTTCTTATTTTCAAAGGGAAATGACTTGAAATAAGAGATGGTTACGCTGGATACAAAATGTGCCGCTTCCCGTTTGAAGGCAACTCTTGCCTTCTGGGAGAAAGTCAGGATTTAGTGCCTTAAACGCTGGCTTTAACAGGACTTGCCATGATCTGGTGCTAATCACAAAGGCCTGTTTTCTCAACATGATCCTGTCAAAATAATGTTCCCTTTTTCATTCAGACACAATTCATGGTATTTATATTGCACATATACGTTTGTACCCCCCCAAAAAGCCAAATTATATTTGACACAATAAAGATTTTGTTTTTAAAAAATCCTCGTCTTTCCTTTGAAAAGAAATGAATACAGTAGGACCCCTGTATCTGCGGGATCGGTATCCGTGGTGTAAAAATATTTAAAAACATGTACCCGTATTTTTCTGTGTATAAGATGCCCCCATGTATAAGCCCCCCCCAATTTTTTAACCCACAATTAAGAAAGCTAAGTGGGGCTTAGCAAGTGGAGGAGAAAGCAGGGATCAAAGCCCTGTAGGATCACTTTGATCCCTGCTTTCCCCTCCACTTGCCTTTTTCCTCTATCCGTGTATAAGACGACCCTCAATTTTTCCTCTATCCGTGTATAAGAAGACCCTCAATTTTTACTCTATAGATTTTAGACAAAAGTAGTCTTATACGTGGAAAAAATGGTATTTTTTGCAATGCATTTAACCAAACTGGCCACTAGAGGGAGCCTGAGACTATGCTATTTATAGTGTTCCCTACTAACTGCAATTTTCAGCATCCACGGTGGGGGAGGGGCTTGGAACGAATCTACTACGGATACGGGGGTCCTACTGCTATGCGGCTTTTGTAATATCTTATATCAACCTCTGGAGAGATAGGGAACGTGGATGCCTTTCCTGTCACATAGGCAGGGACGGTTGTAAAATAAATCTATTAAAACAGCAGCAAATCCAAATATTCAATCACTGCAAAGAATATGCTCGTGTCCCCTCTTATTTGCATACCCATTCGAATGCCTTCATTTTACAAGCGAGTCCGTCGACCTTTCACTTTTTTTCCTGCGATGATAAGGGTGGTGTTGATCTTTTCAGCCAAAACTCTTCCTCCCTGGTCCCTTGTCTTCCAGAATTGAGTACCACGGTACCGGGGTGATTGTTTCACTGCTGATCAATCAAAGCAGCCTGGCATTGGCTGAGCCAATTCAGCACAAGACTTTGCTGTCTTATTTACTGTATTTTTCAATGTATAAGACACCCCTATGTATAAGACGCCCCCCCACTTTTCTAATCCAAAATTAAGAAAAATAAGGGGCTTAGCAAGTGTAGGGAGAAAGGGATCAAAGCGCTGCAGGATCGCTTTGATCCCTGCTTTCCCCTCCACTTGTTTTTCTCTCCTCAGCTTACTTCCGTGTATAAGACAACCCTCAATTTTTAGTCTAAAGATTTTAGACAAAAGTATAGTCTTATACACGAAAAAATACGGTTTTTATTTCCCCCCCCCTTGCTTTTGCCGGAATCAATGGGGCAGACCCCTAGAGAAATGGGAGTTGTTTTATTTGCCTTGCAAAACAGTTTCCCTCTGTATTGGGCAGGGAGGTGGGGGAGAAGAGGTTTGGGCTGCCAGTTTTGCCAAACGGATGAAGGCAACATCTGTCCTTGGGGTGATTAAAAAAAAAATTAATGCATTATGCTAGAAACATTCTGCTTACTAGGGATGCTTGACAAAAGTAGAGGTAGGATAATAAGACGAGATCAGTACAAAAGATGTGTGCGGGATCCTCTCCTCGGGGAGATATCGGCGCCTCTTGTCACGGCAGATAAATGAACCGGGGAGGGGGAGAAAAGATGAGGTAATGCTTTCCTATTGAGGCGGCGCATCTTATGTGCTTCCTTGCGCATGCACTGGAGGGGGAAAAGATCTACGGTGACACCACCCCATTCTTGCAGCCAGGAAACCGCTAGGCGGCTTCCTTTGGAATCTTAAAAAGATATTTCTTAAATCTTAAAAGATATTTCAGGAGGGGAAAATCGCAGCAGCAGTGCAGAAATCTCTTTTAACAGGCCACGTGGTAGAAATAAGCACTGCAAAATTAGCTTTACAGTAGAGCCGTCCGTTCCCGTGCTCTTATGGGTTCTGTCTCTCTCGGGATCCCTTTTCCCAAAAACGAAGCGATCTTTTCCACCACCCACCTCCGAAGCAAATGTGGAAATCGAGCCTGCAAACGAGCCGCTAAATTTAAAGTGACTCCATATTTATTGGAACGCCCCGCGTGCGTTTAAAAACAATCCTTGACAGTTACAGATAGCAATTACATATTGGTTAGGTTTAGCGTTACAGCGTTAGGCAGTTGTACATGGTTTTGAGTTAAATTATTATGATTTTTCTTACATTTTCCTTTTTTATTTGTTCGTTTTGACACAAAAGTTGTAACTTCTCTGCGGTTGTTTTTTTTAAACCTTTTTAAATTTTTTTTTACAATAAACACCAGGTGGGAGGGAAAAGAAAATTCAGGGGTTGGAAATAAAAGGAACAATTTCAGGGGTTTGAAATAAAAGGAAAACAAACCAAAAACTGAACCCACATTTGAGGAATGTTCAAGGCGAGGCAGCTGTCACAAATGATCAGATATAAAGATATAATTTTTTCCCCTAAAAACAAAAGTTAGCTGACCTTGATTCACTCATTATTCTGAAGGAGGAATGGGCGCTGTTTGTATATGCCCGAGAAGCCAGGGGAAGAACCCGCCGTGGCATTCCAGCTGTGGCAGAACTACATATCCCATCATCCCGGATAGGTTTCTCACCCTGGCAAGAAGCCTTTTTAAAACCCTGAGCACATTTCCTGGACAAGGACTTCGTCCTTTCGCTTTACTAGTGGAGGGAAGAAAGAGTAATGGCTGATGATACTCGCGCGGAAAAGTAAAACGGGGATGTTTTGAAAACATGTTGATGCACGCCGAGCCCGGATCGTTCCCGACGGAGCTGGGCCGTGGAGTACATTAGCACAGAAGGAAGCTGGGTGTACGCCGGTGCAATTTTGCAAATGCTAGAACCGTGGGCCCGTAGCCTATTTTCGTGTGGCTTTCTAGGCAGCTGAAACTTACAAAAGAAAGTTGCAAACGCAGCTGCGTTTCCCGCAACTGGTTTCCCTTCATCCAAAAGGTGCAGGCTTCCCGGTTGATACAGAGCTCTTCAGCACTGTCACCCTGCCTGGCGACGGCTTCTGTGTCATTCAAAAAGCTGGCACACTCCGCTAAGAGTTCGGAACGGTTCCCGCATGCAGTGCGCGGAAGCTAAACGGGGGTGAAACCCTGGCCCACCCCTAAATCTCCGCTGGGAATTTGCACGGATTGAGTTGAAGAAGCTTGTGTGCTAACAAAGCTGCCCAGGTGCCAGATAATAATCAAGATGTAACCAACAGTGACGGTGGAATTTGCAAATTTCTGAGTTTAAAACATTAGGATCAACGAACCCATCATCCTGTTTCTTTGTCTTTTAACACAGCAAATTTGGTCCACGCATAGAGCCTGACACGTCAGACCTGCTTCCGCCCTTGTGAACAAAATCAGCAACGTGATGGAGCCGTGGTTCACGAGGATCACGCCCCGGGGATTTTTCTAGTTAGCAGAAACTATGGCATCATCCGCGCCCTCTCCAGCTTTCCCGTTTTAAGTTCAACTGCCGTCCTTCCAGGCGCTTGGGAGTTCTTAGAACCGGAAGAGGCCTCCTCGGGTGAGTTTGCCCGGTTCTCATCCAAAACGCTGGAAGGTGGTTGGATCTCGAATGGGCCATGAAGAGCCATTAGCTTTGCAAAAGACCCGTTTTCCCCCGTGTCGATCGGAACCCCTCCAGCTGCCTGCACTTTTCTAAGGAGCAAAGGGTAAGGGATGAGCAAATTCACCCCTGGCAACCTAACTCCATTTGTTACAGAAGAAAGAACAGGACCCAAATCAGAGGGGGAAAAAGGGGTGGAATTCGTTTTTCCATAGATCTAAACTGGCACAGCAGTGTTTTCGATGTGGACGGTCACTTGAGAGAGCCACTTTCTGCCCACCCCAATAACTCTTGACCCAAATATAGGCATAAAAATTCCCTACCCATTGGTGAACTTACTTCCCCGAATCACAAAAATTTAACCTCCTCAAAAGAAATAGACAGGTGGGGCAGGGTGAGTGAAGGAGGAAACCGTGTTTCAACACCAGAATATGAAAATATATCATTTTAAAAGGGGAGAAAAAAAGAAAAGAAAAATAGTCGGGAGGCAAGCTGAAGAGGCCAACTGTGGTGAATACCAACATAGACAGTTCGGCACAAAACACAACGGTTCATAGTGACAGATAAATCGTTATTAAAAACGGTACCTTGATATTGGTAAGTTAGACTAAAATATTTTTTTTGTCTTTTTTTCCTTTTTAATTTTTAAACTTTTGTCTTCTGCATGCAATAGTGCGGTTACACCGTTTGGATAATATATATATATGTTTTGTGGTATTATTAAAATCAATGCACACTCTATATTTTTTTTGTTGCAGGTTTTTTTTCGTCATTTTTAGAACACGTGGGTTGGGTGTGTGTTGTGTGGGTGTCTGTGTGCCCTGCAAAAGTTAACATCACTAGAGAAAAACCGATCAGCTGAAACTCTTTAGTTCTACAACTAAAACAGAAGGGAAGGGTCGGGGAAGGGTTAAGGGTCAACAGTCTCGTTTGCACGTGGACCGGTGCGAGCTTGCACGTGGCTGCTCGTGGCCCCCCCGGCTTACCCTGCTAATACTCGCTCAAGCTGTGCCACTTGGTGATCTGCTTCCGGGGGCTCTCGCACACCTCCCGCCAGTGGTCCACGCCGCCCGCCGTGACGCTGTGGGCGCCCAGGATCAGCCGCCCCACCACCTCGTTTTTCGTGGTGCGGTCAAAGTCGATGGCCAGGAACTCGATGCTGACGTCGGGGAGGAGCTCGGCGGGGATGTCGTAAATGAACGACTCGTTGAAGATGGGGTTCAAAGTGCACTTCTTGACGTGAGTTTTCTTCTTGGCGATCCGCTTCCTGCCGTAGTACACATTCACCTTGACGTAAGGATCTGCCGGACGGAAGAACAGAAAGGGAGGCAATAACGCCATCCAAGGAGAAAGGGGTGGCCTGTTTTGCAGAGCTTAAAGGTATATTCATCCATCCGTTTGTTCATTCACGCATCCGTTTCTTAATCTATTCATTCATGCATTCGTGTTAATCCATTCATTCATGCAGCCGTTTGTTCGTTCATGCATTTGTTTGTTAATCTATTCATCTGCAGAACCTAAAGGTATATTCATCCATCCGTATGTTCGTTCACACATGCGTTTCTTAAGCTGTTCATTCATGCATTCGTGTTAATCTATTCATCCATGCATCCATCCATTCATTCATGCATTTGTTTGTTAATCTAGTCATTCATGCAGCCGTTCATTCATTCATGCACTCGTTTGTTAATCTATTCATTCATGCAGCCATTTGTTTGTTCATGCATTTGTTTGTTAATCTATTCATTCATGCATTTGTTCATTCATGCATTCATTTGTTAATCTATTCATTCATACATCTGTTTGTTCGTTCATGCATTCATTTGTTAATCTATTCATTCATACATCTGTTTGTTCGTTCATGCATTCATTTGTTAATCTATTTATTCATGCATTTGTTTGTTAATCTATTCATTCATGCATCTGTTTGTTAATCTATTCATTCCTGCATCATTTGTTAATCTATTCATTCATGCATTCGTTCGTTCATTACATTTCTCTACCATCCATTTTCGTGACAAACCACTACTTTGGGATACTGATGGGCAGGAATCACCAGTTCGGCGGTTCGTGTCAGTTCGGTTTTGTGCGAACAGGGGTTTGGCCCTTCTCAGCCCCGCCTCCTCCAGCAGGCGCCCACTCAGAGGCCGGACCCGGAGGAGGCGGGGCAGAAAAGCCCAGGCCCTTCTCTCGGAGGGGGTACAGAGAACAATCCCCCCCCCCCCCGCAAAAGGGTGCTTGGCAGGGATGCCAATGTGGCTCATAGGTTTTGGAGTAAATAGCTTCTACCTGAGAGGCCGGTGATGTCCATCTTGGGCAGGTGTCTGGCTTTCAGCACCACCACGGTCATCCTCTGGGCGACGGGCTGGTAAGACAAGGAGACTTGTAGCTCCCCTCGGCTGACGCATTTCTGGAAAGGAACAGAGTGGACACTCTTTAGAAGAAACAGAGGCAAGCCGCCCGCACGGCTCTATCCAGCCCAGCCTCTCCCTTGATTGATTGATTGATTGATTAATTGATTGATTGACTAATTGCATGGCTCTGTCCAGCCCAGCCTCTCCCTTGATCGACTGATTGACTGATTGACTGACTGACTGGCTGACTGATTGATTGATTTTTATATCACCCATCTTGCAGGAACCATTACCTCGGCCGTTGACAACAGTATACAGTAAATAATATATAAGAACAAAACCATCCAGATTTCAGTATTAAAAGGAAAATTAAACTGAATAACAAGGATTAAATAGGGCTGAAATTGACCTCCAGGTTTTGCTAATTCTATCGTTTTCCCATCAACGGCATCCAATGTGTCACTGATCTCTCTACCCACCCGTGGTTTGACCGTCTGCTCCCGGTGTGCTTGAAACATTGCTTTTTATAGAATCAAGGCATCCTTGGTGGTTTCTAGACTCCAGATTCCATCATCCACAGCCAGTGGCAAGGGATAATGGGACCTGTGATCCTTTTCCCGGCCTTGACTTCTGCCTTCGAAGCAGGGACGGGCAGATCCCTTTTCTCCGGAATGTGGTGCCTTTGCCATGGATGATAAATCTTGTTTGGGGCCACATCAGTTGATCTTTATACCAGTAGATTTATAGTAGATCACCATAGATTTCCGACTTTTAAATGGTCAGTGATCCCAATGGCTGTATATGTCTATTCTAGTCTGAGCAGGATTTTTAAATGGATGGTTTTGCTCTGTGGTTTAAAATGTTTCAATATTGATTTTATTGACCGTTTTTCAATATAATACCTTGTTTAATTCTTCTTTAATAATTGTATGCTTACTATTTTTTTTCCAGCTTGTAAATAATTGTTTTCTTAATGATGCAAGCCGCCTTTGGGTCCTTTTTAAGGAGACAGGCGGGATCAAAGTATTTAAAATAAATAAATAAGCAAACTGTCCAAATTTGGCTGAAATTTGGGGCGACGAGGATGGTGTCTTTTTCCCTGCGAAAAAAATCTATGAACCTCAAGGTCATATCTGGTTCTTGGGAAAAAAAATTCCTGCCATCAAAATATACTCCAAGACACCCTGTTCTTTCATTCTAGATGTATTTCTTGAGTGTAAAAAAATCGAATCAAATACAGCATCCAGGGGATCTGATCAGCCCAAAGCCTTAGCTAGCTTTGTGCTACGGAACAGAAGCAGTTTTTAAAAAATGCCAGGTTGCTGTTGGCAAAAAACGGGGGCCCAAAAAATAGGAGAGGCCCCCCACGTTTTCTCGTTTGCATCCTCGCCCGGGCATCGGCCGTGTCCTTAAATGCTTCTGGACAACAGCCGGCTTGTCCGTAAACGTTTTAAAATCCAGCTGCTTTGGGGCGGATTTCTTGCAGGCAACAGCTGGAGCCCCGGCTTGGCCGAAAGGGAGTTAATTCGGGAGTAATAAGCTGGAGCCTTGCCGACTGTGACAAAGCCAGGCTGGGAAACGGGTGAATAGCCGGCCGAGTTGCTATGGCTGGCGGTGTCCTAGATTCGGCCCGAAGGAATGGGCTTCGCTCAAGCCGTTCCCGTTTCGGCTGCTGCCCGGAATCACAAGTGGAAAGGCGGGCGTTGGAGGTCCTCTAGGTATCATCTCGAAGCAGTGGAAGGCCAACACTACTACTTCCCCCCCCCCACGTCAATGCCTGGAGGGGTTCCGAGTTCAAGATCTGACTGTCTTATTTGACGAAAACATTTTTTGCAAGGAATTTGGTTAGGTTCCCACATTATGTTTCTATTTGCTTGCTTGCTTGCTTGCTTGCTTGCCTGCTTGCTTCCTTCCTTCTTTCCTTCCTTCTATTCATCATCTGCTCCTTCCTTCCTTCCTTTTATCCATCATCAGCTCCTTCCTTCCTTCCATCATCAGCTCCTTCCTTCTATCCATCATCAGCTCCTTCCTTCCTTCTTCCTTCCTTCCTTCCTTCCATCCATCATCAGCTCCTTCCTTCTATCCATCATCAGCTCCTTCCTTCCTTCCATCATCAGCTCCTTCCTTCTATCCATCATCAGCTCCTTCCTTCCTTCCTTCCTTCCTTCCTTCCTTCTATCCATCATCAGCTCCTTCCTTCCTTCCATCATCAGCTCCTTCCTTCTATCCATCATCAGCTCCTTCCTTCCTTCCATCATCAGCTCCTTCCTTCTATCCATCATCAGCTCCTTCCTTCCTTCCATCATCAGCTCCTTCCTTCTATCCATCATCAGCTCCTTCCTTCCTTCCATCATCAGCTCCTTCCTTCTATCCATCATCAGCTCCTTCCTTCCTTCCATCATCAGCTCCTTCCTTCTATCCATCATCAGCTCCTTCCTTCCTTCCATCATCAGCTCCTTCCTTCTATCCATCATCAGCTCCTTCCTTCCTTCCATCATCAGCTCCTTCCTTCTATCCATCATCAGCTCCTTCCTTCCTTCCATCATCAGCTCCTTCCTTTACTTACTTACTTACTTACTTACTTACTTACTTACTTACTTACTTACTTACTTATCACCCATCCGGCTACCAAGGCCCCTCTGGGTGGTTCGCAACACCGCGAAACAACACTTTTAAAAGCCCCAAATGTACGAAAAACCAAAATCGGACATATCCATCCAGATACACCAAAATCAACACAGAGACAGCTAGAAATGATTTAAAAGGCAAAAGGGCGCGACAGAGAGGATGAGCGCCGGAAAAACCACAGCGCTCTCCGGGAAAATCTCTCTACACAGCCCTGTTTTCAAAGATTGTTTGGACATTCGCAGCGAAGGGGCCGGACAACCTTCAAGAAAGCCCAGTTTCTGGTCTTCTCTTTCCGGGTGAATGATCTCAACTGCCCAGCTTGGGAAGATCAGATAAATTGGGCCGATCTCCCTGGAAGAAGGCTATCCCAATCATGGCGGGCCAACCCAGAAGGGCCGTACGTAACGGCCCAGATCACGGGGTCTAAAATTATAGCTTCAAATGGGGCCAACCCCTCTGTCAAGTGATTTCGATTCCTGCCTTCAGCAGGGGGGTTGGACTTGATGGCCTTCGAGGGCCCTTCCCGGCTCCATAGTTCTATGATTCTATGACTCCAGCCATTGCAGGAGAGAAATCTGATTACGGCGTTATGGATGGGAAGGACGGAGCGTCAGCTGCAGGCCTGCGCACGTCGAGAAAGCTGGAGCGATTATCTGCTGCCCGAGCAAAAATCCCCCAATCTTGTTTATCTCCTGCTAACGTCGCTCCCAGATTCGCCGGAGACTTGGCTCGCTCTGATTTGCAAAGTGCTCTCCTGCTGCTGACCCAGCTCCTTTGCAAGCAATCGGAGGCGCGCCGCTGACCCCAATCCGTGATCTACTTTCTCTCCTCACTCACTCACTTGGCGCTGTTTTGCCTTCTCGCCCGCGGTCCCCGAGGGAAGGCTGATGCAAAACACAGCCTCCAACAGCCTTTCCCGCCCTCCGCCAGCCCGGCGCCCTTTGGAGGCATGTTGGCTGGGGATGATGGGAGCTGGTGTCCCGCTTGCCAGGAGGGGCACCTGGTTGCGGAAAAGGCTGGCCGGTGTACATGTGGTTTTGCAAAGAACGGATGATGTAAACCAGCAGGGTTTAACATCCAGGCATCTTCTAATTGCTACAAAACTATGCATTCTCCTTACGCAGGTGTAAGTCACATTGCAATGACAGAGGCCGGTTTGCAATGTAAATCTTTTCTGTTTCCTGATATGAAGGAGAAACAATTACAAGAACCCAAAATCTTGTACACAGCTTCAAAATAATTCATTCCAAACAACCAGCAATTACTGTAATTCCTTTCCCCAATAACCTTGATCTGTCACATTACAACTGTAACTTAAAGAGAAGTAATGTGACCTTTTTTTTGTGGCGTAACTGTAATTGCGTAGTTACTTTTATCATAATGGTGGTATGGCCACATAAGAAGAAAGAATATCATGTGGTTCAAGTGCCAGCTGGCTCTATTAAGGAAAAAACCATTCAGATTTTAAATTTATGCAGACAGACCCCCTTATCCAAGGGATCAATATCTGCTGATTCACTTATCCAGGGTCTGAAAACATTAAAAGAAAAATCCTAGAAATATATATTTCTGATGATGAAGTTACCAGAACTGGCCACGAGAGGGAGCCAGAAACCATGCTATGCATGCCATTTGCTATTAAAACAGTGTTCACTATCATCCACATTTTTCAATATCCGCATAAGGGGGCTAGGAACTCCGCAGACACAGGTGTCCTAATATAATGGGGGGGAAATACAATTTTCATTTCTTTCGGGGGACAGGAGTGTTGAGAGCTACATTATTAAAAATGGTATCTTTAACGCCAGTTCACTCCTTTGGAGGATCTTTATAACTATAAATGTGAATTTCGTTGTATGTGTATAAGAACTATAACTATCAACTTTTTTTAAAAAAAGTAACTTTTCATGCTTTGATCCTGTGCGCCGGTGGCGGAAATACATCCTTTTAGTAAAACGGTTCCTGCAACTGATTTTTTTTCCCCCTTACCTGTATGTTCCTCTTGGCGATCTCCCGGGTCAAGTGGACTTTCCCCGTGCTCGGATCCACCCCGGCGAGCGGAACCATCACCTCCCCGATCACGTCGTCCCGAGAAAAGCGGTCGAAGCTCAGCACCAGGAAATGAAGGACCAGGTCTTGGAGCTGGCTGTAGGGGATCCCGTAAAAGGTAAAGGTCTCGTCGAAAACCGGATCCAGGGTCTTCCGGAGGACGCGCGTCTTCACCCGGTGCTTCTTGTCGGGCAGGATGGTCATCTTAATGTAAGGATCCGACCCCTGGCTGTGCTCGTCCATGACGGGCAAGCCGTGCGCTTCCTGGATGGTGACCACGAGGGCTTTCTTGGGGAAGTTGTAGTCCACCGAAAACGTCAGCGTCCCTAACGTGACCTCTTCCTCCGGGGAAGACGGCGAGGACGTTTTGCTCCCGGCGGGCGTCAAGCTTTGATCCGGGCTCAGCTCTTCTCCGTAATCAACTCTGATCGGAAGCTGGTCGATGCAAGGGGCCGCGTTCAACCCGCCGGGGAATTTGTCCGAGCCCGCTAACCCGGCTTCGGCGGCATCCACCGAAAGGCGGCCCAGTCCTTCTTTCCGTGCGGGACCCGCCTTGTCTCGTCGGAGCCGGAGGATCTTCTTCTTGTTACTCAGCGTCTCCGGGTAGATGCTGATCCCCTTCAGCATGTGTATGAACTTATACGGCGGCGTCTTGTGCTTCTTATCGGCCTGCTGGTGGCAGCAGGTCCAGACGAAGACGGTCACGGAGACGGAGACCACGAGGACGGTGGCGCCGATGAGGCCGGCCGCGATGGGGGAGACATCTGGCGGAGGAAACAGAGGAAGAAGGGAGAAAGAAAACCCGTAAGCCCGGCAGGAGAAAGAGAGGAGTGCAAATATCTTACGGGTTCTGCAGCCCATTAACGCCTCCTTTCCAATACCAAGGGGGAGGGGGGGAAAGGTGTATTGCCATTCCTGAAAGCCCCGGGTTCAGCTTCTGCAATTCATGCTTTGCAAAAGTTGTGAAAAAGAGCGGCAATGTGGTTAAAGACAACCTAGGGGAACCCTGTTTTCAAACTCCGCACTCCGGCATGAAATTCATCGCCTGTGACTCTTGGTCAACCACAATAAGTCCACCTGGCTTACCTCGAAGGATTGTTGTGTGAGAGTAGGGTGGGCAGAGAAAAGTCTTGCACAGTATCTAGGGGGAGGGAGAATTGGTTCCAAGCTCCTCCCCGTGGATGGTGAAACATGTGGATAATAGTGAGCACGATCCATAGCATGGACTCTGGCACTCTCGACTGGCCCGTTCTAGTAACTTCAACTTTAGAAAGAGATGCTTCTCCGATTTTTCTTTTAATGTTTTAAAATATTTTCAGACTGTGGGTAAACGAATCAGTGGATACGGATTCCGTGGTTAAGGGGACCTCCTGCGCTTTGTGCCACACACACAGACACAAATACTGTTTTTCAAAGCTGGAAGTGAGTTCCCAGCTCTATTTAGGATTTATTTGTTTGAGTTTTTTGTGCTCTTTCTCTCTCTCTCTCTCTTATCCTCTGTGTGAGAGAGAGTATGTGAGCGGGGGCCAGATCCACCAAAGCTACCTAGCCTTTTAAGAAAAATGCCACGTACCACCATACTTCCAGCCCTGCAGCTCTAACATGATACTATGATGATGATGATTTGCATGCAACATTTCTATCCATCCTCCTTCTCCATTTGTGCGAGGCTGTGCATGGGCCTACCAGCGTCTAATTTTAAAATCCTGGCAGGCTTTGGAAGTATATCTCTGTGTGTTTACATGGATGGGGCAGGATCCTGCCGTGTGTGCTCCGCCTTTTAGCTCCGGGGGGGGGGCTTTTCTCCCAAAGGAAACCAGGGCACTTAACGCAAAAAAAAAAAGGCGTGCAACACAAAGGAGACAACCTCAGTTGTGCTGATGACATCACCCCGGTTCTCTCCAGGTCTCTTGTTTGGAAATAAAAAGGCCCAGTGATGGCCGCACAATGGCCAGCCACGCCTCGTGTCACTCTGAGAAGGGGAAGACACAAGCTGGGGGGCGGCGGGGGGGGGACACACATGGGAAAGGCAATTAAGGGCTTCGTTTCATGTCGTCGTCTTTGCCTGAATCATGCGGGAGACAAACGCCACGGTCGCGTGCAATACAGTGAAAAAGCAGCCTAGCAACCATTCATTAGCAATCATCATGCAGCATCAGGCACGTTATGATAGTTATGTGCTGTCAAGCCCGTCCCAACCACGAGGGATGGGCATTTGGGACTACAAATCCTATCATTCTCCCTTCTGGGATTTCTACTTGACAGTCCTCATCATGTACCGCTGTCATGTCACTTCTAACTGACGATGATCTTTTTCAAGGTTTTTTTAAAGGTAAAGAGTACAGTGGTGCCTCGCTAGACAGTCACCCCGCATGACAATTTTTTCACTAGACAGTGGCTTTTTGTGATCGCTATAGCGATTCGCAAAACAGTGATTCCTATGGGGGAATTTCGCTGGACAATGTTTGGTCCCTGCTTCGCAAACCGATTTTCGCTAGATGATGATTTTGACAGCTCCCTCCGCGCTCGCAAAACAGGTGTTTTCGGGACCTGAGCTTCACAAGACAGCGATTTAAACAGCTGATCGGCGGTTCGCAAAGCGGCTTTCCTATGGCCGATCTTCGCTAGACAACGACGATTCTTCCCCATTGGAACACATTAAACACCTTTCAATGCACTCCAATGGGGAAAATGCTTTTCGCTAGACAATGATTTTGCTAAACAGCGATTTCACTGGAACGGATTATCATCGTCTAGCAAGGCACTACTCTGTTCTGAACTGGTTTGCCCTTTTCTCCTTCTGGGCGCCCCCAAGGATGATGCAGCTTGCCCAAGGCTACCTAGGCTGCCTCTTCTGGGATCCCCAGCGGGGAATTGAACTCCCAACCTCTGGCTCCCCTATTCTGATGCCTAACTCACTGAGCTATCCAGCCAGCTTGACAGGCCCCTTACCGAGACCTAAATGTGGCTCGCCTGGGAGAAAAGGTCTACACTGGAAGGCTTTGGGGCTTAGCTCGGCCTATTTCTACCTGGCTTCCTGTTTAGAAAGAAAGCTCCCAGCCAGCACTGGGGCAGGAACAGGAAGTTGAGGCGGAGCGAGGCCGAGCTCAGTCCCAAAACCTTCCATCCGAGGCCGTTTCCCCCAGGTGAGCCACACGTAGGGATCTGTAAGGGAGACAAGAGCGAATGTAAGTGCCAGAAGTCCTTTTTCAAGCCACCCTTGAATATATACATTTAAATTTCTTAACATGTTATTTCGCCTCCAAAAGCTATGCCTTATGCGTAGAATTTCTGCCTATGTTAAAGCAGGAAGGGGCGTCGTCTTCTTTTTTTTTTTAAGTGATCCTCCACTCTCAAGAGTGGAGAATTTTAGGCACATCAAACCATTTTCTATTTGCCCAGGAGGACCACTTTCGGGTTGGGGATCTGCTGAAGCTGGTGGCAACAAAAATAGCCGTGGGAACACATTTTCCCGACTTGGGTTTTTATGCCTTCTGCTAATTTTCATAAAGATCGAATTGCTGGTTGAATTGGGCAATTCTAAACGACGAGAAAACATAATTTTATGAGTTCTGCTTCCTTTTAGGGTTTTTTCCCCCCCTTGGGGCGGGTGAGGCTCTAGAAGCTTGGTGCCCTCGCTCACCATCTATGCCTGTGGCACTGAAGAACTCAACAAATGGATTCACAGCAAACATCTGACATGTGGGGCATGGAGCAGCTGCCCTGGGGTCGCTCTGACATTCCATCGCTATATATATGCACAATAGAATACGACCCCTATATCCATGAGTGTGTAGTTCCAAGGCCCCCCGTGGATGCTGAAAACCGTGGATTATAGCAAACCCTATACATAGCATGGTCTCTGGCTCCCTCTAGTGGCCAGTTCTGGTAAATTCATCTTTAGAGATAGCTATTTCTAAGATTGTTCTTTTAATATTTTTTAACTGTGGATAAGTGAATCAGCGGATACTGATCCCACTGCTAAGGAGGTCCTCCTCTAATGACTTGGGTGGC